AGTCTGTTTATACCAGATACAAATTATTGATGGAAAAATTGAAGCCACCAGGCTTCTGTTTTTGAAGATTAAGTTGCCAGTGGTTGATAGTTCTTGTTTTCACTTAAACAAGTACCAAATCAAATCCATGTAGAGAGAAACTTTGTGATCCTATTAGGACACAGAGTGAAGAGATGATCATGCCTCCATTGATACTTTGACTTCATGCATAGTCTTTGACAGAAGCAGTTTGGGAACAAGATGAGATGTCATCTGGCTGTTCTGGTCAAGCCCTATGCCCTCACTCATCCTGGTCTCAAACTCATCTGGAACTGGCCTTTTATTTTTCTGGAGTATGAATATCTGGTCTTATGATTAGATAGAAGGGGAGAAAATGTGGCAAAAGAGAGATTAGAAAGACGTAGAGAAATGTACAGTTGAAAAGATACAGAATACACTGTGACCAGGCTGGAATATTGCTTTTACTAATTTTGAGAACCGTATGTCCTCATGTGTGTGCTGTTTTTTCTTGCTGCTGTTAGAGGGATGTTTGAAATTATGCTCTCAGGGTAACTAAGGGGCTATCAGGGAGCTGTCAGCTCTCACTGGGGAATCCCTTAGATTTCTCTCTACCCTTTCCATCCTAGAGGTCTTCCTTTCATAAAAACCCAAGACAGAAGAATAGCCTGTCTCCTCATCCTTAAGTATTATCTGATGAGGGCTCATTTCTCTTTCATACCAACCATTGTATTACTAATTAGCATTTTATGAGCAAACTGTGTCTCTTTGTCTTCTTTTCATGCTTCTGCTACATACATTTATAGGTGCAGAGCATTGCAACTTCTCAGCTTCACTTTCCAATGCACTTACCCTTAGAGGGACTCTTGAACTAGTAATTACAGCTAGACTCAAGAGGAGGAAAAGCAGTTTGGAAATATCCTCTGCAAACAACAAATTTGCATAATGATAATTCTGAGGTGTCTGGAAAAGAAAGTAGTCAAGCAATAATTTATCACAAATTCAGAATGGCACTGCCATATAAACAAAAATCTAGACTGCCTCAAATCTACTACCTTCAGTAGAAGTTATATCAGACTATATAAATTTTCAAAATAATTTTCAGGTCTGTATTTTTATATAGTTCTCTTTGTAATTTTTCTTGCCATTTTTGTCCATTTTCATATTCCTTATATCCTGCACATAGGTTGGAGCTCAATTCCCTTAGTGGTTATCAACTTCTCTGGTTAGTTCACTATCAAAGAATTCATAATTAAGCATAATTTTCTTCTTAAAGGAATAGTTTTGTAATCTTTATTTTATTACTGTCTAACAAACTCATCAAGATCTGATTTTGAGTTTTAAAGGGTGTATTTAGACCCCATCACTTGGGAACAGAAATGTAAAGTTACAGTTGAGAAGAGAAAAGATGGGGGTTTTATCCTTTATAAATCAGCTCTGCATGTATTTTGAATTAATTCTTTGTACAGTCAAAGATTTCATATTTTTCATTTGCCTAATTAATGATTGTATGCACACACATCTGCTATTCTGTTCACTGATCCAGTGTTGCTGTTTAAAGAAAGCTTGGCCTCAAGGGCAAGTTGAACTGAAATAATCTTTTGGCTTCACCAAGACAGGAAAGTAAATAATAAAGTTATATTTATGCCAAGGCAAAAAAAATCCAAGAAACTTTTTTATTCAGGCTGCCAGTTGAGACTGAAGTATCCATACTAAACTCGGGAAGAATAGAGCTGAATTTTTTATGTACCTTCATGTCTTTAGTGCAGTGTACTTCTGTACAGAAATGTACATCCATATTGTAAATTATGGAGAATTATGTTTGTTAACAGTGAGGTGTAACTAAGGTGTAGTGTAACAACTCTGTACACTGTAACTCGGTGTAACTCGGTAGCTCTGTGAGTCTGCTGAGGGCTGTGGGAGGCTCTGAAAGCTCTGTGTATAAAAAATATATCTATGGCATGAGAGCTGACACATAGGTATTGATTTAGATTTGAGCAAACACATTTGAATAATGCAACCGTCTTATATTAAAGGAAATCTTGCTGTGCTCCTTATGTGTTGCTCAGTTCAGATCAAAAGTTGAAAAGCCAAAATATTTTGCACAGTTTCCAATAGACATCAAAGACAAAGTTCAGAAAATAACCCAAGCAGCTTTTGCACAAGACTCCTTTTTTGCACAGAGACGTAGAACTTTAGAGGGGAAGGGTAGAGGGAACTTAATCTCTCTTCAGAATATTTTCAAGTTCCCATTTCATGATTTACAACCTACTGTATGTGATAATGATGTAGGTAACTGCTGTCGCTTCTGAGAATGGAAGCACAGAAACTGTGGAGATTACTCTATGATCAGGGCCACAAACAAAAATATTTTTTTCCCCAGTTCCCCTCTTTCTACCTGTCCAGTCAGGCTCTGCATTAAAATCTGCATGGCTTCTAATGTAACAGAGCTTATGAAGGCAGAAGCTGGGGATGTACATTAAAGAGAAGCAGAAAGATTTCACCAAGTTTCTTACTCTGTTTTGATTCTTACTATTACCTTTACTAAGTAAATGAAAGAGGCTTTATTGCTAATTGTAAACTCTTCCACAGGTCCAGGAACATTTTCCTCTTGCTGGGCTTGTAAATATGCATGACTAGGGCAAGGTTTGTTCACAGTGTTGTGAAGAAATTTATTTTAAAAAATTCATTGACACTCCTGACATGGCAGGAATGAATGGTTCAGTGCATTTGAAAGCATGTATGAATGTAATTCATGTAATTAATGTAATCTTGCTATTGCAAGTCTAGAAAATACCTCAGAAACCATACATCATAATAATAACATTTTCTTCAAAGTCACATTCCCAGCTTCCTAAAGGTCTGCATTCTGAATGGCACTTGCTTGTAAAAAGTATTATCATTTGCACAGTACATTTTCTTATATTTCAAACAGAAGAAGTAGCAAACATATAAATTTATTGCTATGACTTTCAAAAGAAATGAGTAGCTGAGCTGGCCAAGCAGCTGATCAAATCCTAATTTAGAAGGTCTGAAGACTTCCGACATAAGCTATAATTGCAGTGTCTCTGGAGGTCTAGATTTTCTTACAGACCTTAGGAAAAAATCATTAATTAGTACAAAGTCAAAAGAGATCAGAGACAAAAGGCTTTTTACTTCTCTCCGTCTGAGTTGTCTAAACTGGGTAAAATCAGGGCCTTGTGAGGTTTGTGGGACAAATCTTGAATGATTAATGATGCATATACATACCTCTGCAATGTAATTGTGTGTGTGTGAGTGTGTATGCAACAGCAGTATATGGCTTAACCCTGATAATCTCCATAGTAAATGTGTACTTCCTCCCTTCTTTATATGCACAAAAATACCCAACAACGCGGTCGCTGGGTATAAGTTTCATTATGTCTCTCTTGTTTTGGCTGCATTTAGTGTAAGTAATTTGTAGCTCAACACGTGTGTATGCAACAGCAGTATATGGCTTAACCCTGATAATCTCCATAGTAAATGTGTACTTCCTCCCTTCTTTATATGCACAAAAATACCCAACAACGCGGTCGCTGGGTATAAGTTTCATTATGTCTCTCTTGTTTTGGCTGCATTAAGTAATTTGTAGCTCAACAAATCTGTTTGGAAAAATTGAATTTCTTGACAATGCCAAAAGTCTGGGATAGTTACCTTTAAGTTGCAGAAGTCTCTCTCTCTCTGTCTCTCTCTCTCTATATATATATATATGTAACTACTCCAACTTAACAGGCCATTTATGTAATGAGACACAATCAAATGGAAGGCAAAAGGAGAAAAAGCCCAAGTGAGAAGCTTTTGTTACTGAATTAAAAAGAAACAAACACAGAGTACTTGCTGGACCATAGTAAATAAAGACAGTTCATTCTTAAACCTCTAAATCTTCCAACACCTCTTTGTTATGTTTTGTAGCAATACTCCTTGTTTTACAGACAGATGATTCAGAACCCTACCTAGTTTATACCATAAGTTTTACATTTGAACTCACACAGGAAATCCAGGTCCTGTTTCTGAATTTTATGTATCAATGTATCTGCCATAGCTGCACCCCTGCTGCCACTGCAAGCTGGGAAGAGGACCTCTTGCTCCATGGGGCTCCTGGAAACCCAAGTGGTGCCTGCCCAGTACAGTGGGACCAGCCTTTTGCTCCCATCCTGCACTGTGATGTGTTTTATTTTTCCTGAATTCAAATGTATTGAACTTTTGGGTTCAGTTCATAATTAAGACCGGTCCTGAAACTTATTGAATTGGGGTGACTATTTTTAAATGAAGCTGGATTTTATTCTCTTGGAATTACATATCTTCTTTTTTTTAGAAGATATTTAGTAACTTTGACAATATCTGGGTATGTTGATTGTCATTTCTTTTAATTTTACTTCACATATTTTCATTTGCTACCTACATATGCACAGTTTTATTCAGATACAAAATGGAGAATAGAAACAAGGGCAAAGTGAGAGTGTGGGAAGCAGAAAGTAAAAAAAATTGCTGAGAAAGGAAAGAAAAATTAACACACACATACATCAACCAGAAGAATTTGTTTTCACGGAGGAACTTGCAGTTCTCCAAAGAGTTAGCAGGAATAACATGGATCTGGTAGATTCCTCCAGATTCTAGTACAGGAACTTCTTATCACAGGAAAATAAAATGTTTAGGTAGGTTGATTTTAAAGTTGTATGTAATTTCTTATGTTTATTTCACAATTCCAGAAGTAAACAGAAACTTGAATATGCCCAAAAGGACTTGCAGTACCTGAAAGGCAACACCTGAAAAAAATTTAAAAAAAAACATATAAACACTGCAAGGATACAAGAAAATGTTCAGCTTCTCTTAACTCTACAGGAAGATGAGCTATAGCACCTTGTCAGCCAATCAGCAGTAGTAAAGCCTCAGACCAGGAAACTCTTTAAAGTACAGTATTTGTGAACTTTGCAACAGTACTTTCCCATTGCTGCCCTTTGTTTTTCTCTTCTTTATGTTTGCAGAATCAGAAGCCACTGGTGAAGTTACTCATGGAGAAATTTGAGAGATGTAACAGAGACACAGAGGATCCTTCAAACAGCCGACCCGTCAAAATCCCAAAACAAGATGCCCCCAAAGGATTACAGACAAGAAAAGCAACACTTGAGAAATTTGCAAATAAAGGATATACTGCGTTTTGTCCAGGACTGAGTACCCTTCACAAACCTGTTCAGTCTAAGCCTCCTATGGCAGTCAAGCCTTCAAGCGATGATAAAACAGAAAAAGATCCAAACTCACGACATTTGAACCCAGTGGCACAAAGGTTTGGTGTTCAGCTTCAGCCCACTAACAGAGGAAATGATGAAAAAGCTGGATGCAGTAAATTCTCTATCAAAACCAGTGACCCATCAAAAGAGGACCCAAAGCCTTCAAACCCAAAACCTGCATGGAACAAGTTTGTCACTCCTCCTGATAACGAAAAAAATCCTCTGGGACGAAAACCTAATTTAAATTTTGCATCACAGGAGAATGAGGCAAAACCGGAATTTTCAAAGGTAGCTGCAGTTAAAGAAAAATTAAGGTCTGCAACACAAGAAAACGAGCCCAAGCCTCCTGTTTCTAAACCACCTGTTGCTCAGAAACCTTCTCTAAACAGTGAGATATCACAGAATGAAGACACTTCTAATAAAACTGGTTTTCTGCAAAGACAGTCTGGACCCCGAACAAACATACACGCGCACCAAGAAGCAAAGGAAATGGGTGAAGTTAGTAACTCTGCTGCAGAAGCTCAAGGCAGTAGTTTTCCTAAAATAGCTCTGAAGCCTACTGGCCACGGGTACGGCTCACCAAAAGGACCCCCCAAAACTGTGGCAGAAAACACTGAAGAAACGGGAATGAGTGCTGCCAAGAACATCTTCCTCAACAAAATCACCCAGGAAGAATCAGGTTCTTCTCATAAATTCCTAAAGACGAATTCAGCGCTTGCTGCAGGAAGACCATCAGGTGAATCACAAGCGAATGAGGAGAGGAGGTCCGGAATACCCAGGCGGAAAATCTTGCCCCCAGTGTTCAAGCTGGGCCAGCCCCCACAAAAGCCCAGCAGACCCCCCACGGTGCACTTGGAAAAGTTCCAGAAGAGCAGCCAAAAAAACAGTAAGTCCACTCTGTTCTTTCTTCCTTGGGTATTAGCTTTTTGATGCATTTAGAACCAGGTTAATTTCAGGTGGAATCTCCTCTTCTGTTCAGAAATAATGTGTGCATCAGAAAACCTATTAAAACTGTAACCCTTTAAAACTGTAACTTGGGCTTCTGTCTCTTCTGTACAGAAATTAAAATTATATTCTCTATCCTTCAGTGGTAAAGTTCAGGAAGAATGTTTACAGTATTGAGTTCACCTATTTCTTAAAACTACTCAGATGCAGCTATAACTTGTGTCAGGGAGTATTTTCTCAAGGCATTTAAGTCCTGACATAATTAAACAGTTCAAACTTAGATGCTTCAATTTTAAGTCTAGTTAGTGAGAAAGGGCCATGCCTAATGCTGTGATTCGGAGCTCTGAAGTTGCTGATAGTGGATCTCTAACTCCACACTGTGCATATGTGGTATATCAGGTGCATTCATGTAATTTAGTTGATACATAATTTGTCCTTGTACTTTCTGTGTCGAGAATGACACCTTCTGGGTCTGTGTCAGTGTCTAGAAACAGCGTGGCTTGTGTTTCAGCAGTTCTGAATACACATAAGGCTGGTCTTCCTGAGGCAGAAGAGGTTCAGAGGGGCTATGGCAGCATGAAAAAGCTCAGAGCTGATTTCTCTTAAGAGAAAAAGCCTCATTAAAAACACAGTGCTTGCATGCAGCTATATATTGTGTTGCTATTAATTCCACTCAAAGATTAAGAGTGTGTCAGTAATAAAAAAAATGCTTTCTTTTCAGCTGCTGTGTTCTGGTTTTCATCTGTTACCTTACAGTTAAGGAAATGTTCTCAGAGATCCAAGATCAGGCTAAGAACCTCAAATGATGCAAATTTGTGTATATATTTGTATATGTCTTTAAGACAAATATGCTCAAATACAATCTCAATACAAAAAGACAGCATTTTCAGCCAACTGCACAAGTAAATGTTTTGGTTATGTAAGAAAAGTGAGAGCTTTGCTAGTTAAAACTTTAAGAAATCCTAACAAAGGCTGGAAATACAGAAAATGACAGTTTATTTAGAATACATTTTTAAATTTACTTTAAGTAATTAATTGAGGAATCTTTATTTCTTGTTCTGCTCATTGTTTATTCTGATTTTTTTCTGGGTCCCATTCAGTTATAGTCACAAAGCATTTTTTTCATTCTCTTTTTAAAACTGAGCATAAGAAATATTTAGCCTGTGCATTTCAAATTAACACTGTGAGCAGGGCTGTAAGAATAATATCAGAATTTTTGTTAGAAGGAGAGTGTCCTGTTGTTACTAACCAGGTGTAAGAGAAGCCACTACCCTGACAGTCATGGGAACATGAGCTAAGGATGGAGCTGCCCAGCATGGTGGTCCAGGTGGTTTTCCAATTATGTTGCAAACCTCACAACTAAGTAGAAATTAAGGATCAGACATGGTCTTCTCTATCCCACAGTCACAGGGGCAGGTCACGAATGAAATATTTAGAAACCATATCCATGAGAACCCATCCATAGTGTCCCTGGACTTCAGCCTTCACTCAGAGAGCTGGCATGTAGACCTTGATATTCAGTTTGGCTTTAATTAATGCAGCCCATTTCATTGTGGTCAAAAGTCTACACAGAACAGTTCTGGTGGAGAGACAAGTTGTTCTAGAGTGAATCATAAACAAACTCCTTTTCAGCTCAACAGTTATTTGTTGATGGGTTTCTTGGAACATAAATTAAAAAATCTACCTGCTTTGGAAGGGCAGTTAAACTGAACTGTGGGTTTTTTTCTTAACTGTTATTTCAAGAATCAAAGTCATGTCAGGAAGACACCACCCTCACAACACAAATTCTTCCTGTTCATTACTGTGTCCTGTTGAACAGAAGCTTTCCATTGTTGCTTAATTTGCTGCTGTGATTCAGGTGCTGAAAGTAAAGAAGACTAAGCAAATGAAAATATTTTTTTCCATTCAACAAAGCTTTCTGAGATCTAACCTTTGGAGATTTTGGTCTGTAATAGGGCGAAAGTTAGGCTTTGTGCTGTTCTTTGAGAGGAGAAAACCTCCACACATAGTGGTTTTTACACTTGTGTTAGGGGCATGTGCCTGCACTTTAGAAAACCTTGTACCGCCTGATTTAAAACAGGAGTTTGAATTCTGCTTTCTCAGAAGTATCAATTCACCCTTTTTTCTTTGGTTGTTATCCTTTCCCATGAAACCTGTTTTACTGGTTTTTGAAAATAAGTATTCACTGGGCATGAAATTACATTAAATGTTAGAGGCTGAAGGACTTAGCTTTGATACAGCAGTCTTAGTTAAGTGTGGGAGAAGGATTTTAGTCATCCACCATGCCTGCATGAATGTTGTTCAGGGATGCTAGTTTGATATTGGTCTTGTCCTGAAAAACCTAGTCCTGAAAAACTTTTCATGACAAAAACTTCTGTAGATACAGATGTCTTTTTCAAGAAAGTCTCACTATTGACATGCTACTATTTTCCAGTGAAGGCAGGCTTTAAGAAATTCCTGTCTGGGCCTGCAGATACATGGCAGAATAGTAAATTCCTGTGTTATGTCCCATTGCAGCAATTTTCCATGACAGACCAGATTTACCTCAGCTAAGAATCAATGAGGTGCATGTGCCTTTTGTGTTCAGAAAACAATAACAACTATATTGTTTTACAATAAACACCCAAGGTCTTAGAAAAAAAGGAAGAGAAACAAAGTAATTTTGCTGACAGCTTTCCATGTGAGGCCACAACTGCAGTGTTGCTTCCCGAGGAGAACCACAGTGGCAGAGGGGGACCACGCAGGTACAGGTGGTCACACACGCAAAGCCAGCCACAGGTTGAGCCCCTAGTGCTTCACACACCTCTGCATAACTCCTGAACAACAAAGACCAGGGCTTCAGTGTTATTCAGTGAATTAAAAGTGGGTACATGCTGTCAGTCTGCTTCTGTCAGGGAGAAAATTCCTCAGAATTTTTAAAAGCCTCCACAACAAAGAATGTTAAGGCTGTGGAGGAAACCCTACCACTCTGGATTTTTGAAGCATTACCTTAAAAGGTCAAGGGTTTGTCACATAGTTCTCCTAAAACATGTGGACAAAACTGTAAATTAAACTGCCAGTATGGCTTACAACATTGAAAAAGATAAATTGTTGCAATTTAAAAATTAATTCAACCATCCTTAGAGAAATATGAATGAGACCATTATTTATCTGTCTTAGTTAGTTAGTTAGTCAATCTGCCTAAGAAAACAGATAAACCAACACTGAGTATTTCCTTGCAGGTGATTGTTCAGAGTGCAACTTGCTGCTATTGTGTATAAAGAAGGAAAAGTACATAAAACCCACTGCAAATTAATATTTAAACTCATTATGCTTGATTATTGCCTTAGCTACAACATTCTGCAACATTTTCTAAATGTCTTAGAGTATATTTTTATTTTTAAGGGAATAAATTGTATCAATTTAACATCAGCAGACACCTCTCCATTGTGAATGGTCAAAGCTTCTGCAACCGGGAGAAGAATATCTCCTAACTATCTCCATTTTTGTTTGTTATGGCTTATGTGCCACACTTGTTCCCTTAAAGATTATCTATTCTAGAAAATTAACAGTAAGATGTGGATGGTTTTTATCAAAGGATGGAGGCGCAGAAAACTATTTTTCTCATGTATACACTTGTTATAATCTGCACATGAATTCTAGTGTTGTTTGTGCAGATGACTGCTCTAAATCCCATTGAGTCAGCTGAAACCACTCCTGAGTGGAGTAACTAACGTGCAGAATTTAGGACTCAGAAGAGAAACCATGTAAGTGCACCTGTTACTTTTGGTAAGAGGTTTGACATGTAATTTGAATGGCTTTGAGATTCAATGGTTTTGAATCAAAGTATATGCATAACATATTCACTCATTAGGTCTGGACCTCTGCAAAGGACTGAATGAAGTACATGAGGTATTATGCTCTAGTTGAAACCATTGCCCACCTTCCAGGGTCGGTGCTGGAAGGATTTAACACAGCACCTTGAGGATTACACTATGTATGACAGCAGCCTTTGAGAAAAAGTGCTAAGAGGGGTAGTTAGAAAGAAAAACTCATAAGGATGCAGAAAAAAGACAGCCATGAGTTTCCCATGGAAGGTGACAGAAAGAAAGCTGCTGAAGAGAAAAAAGTAAAACTGATGGAACTGAGTTATACCTTCTGCTTAGTAAAATTTGGTTAATTTAATTTCTGAAATCTTGTTCTTTTGTTCACTCATTTTGATTCACAAGAATAAACACCTATTTATGCACCTTCATCATGTGGTTTCATTATATGGGTCACAATACAAAAGCATCTCTGCTGTACCAACACCTCAAGTGTTCTGAAACCTGTCCAGATTCCAGAAAAAAATGTGAACATGGAGTATATTTGATTTACAGATTGAAAAAGTTATAAGAACTGGCTGAAATTTTCCCATTCCTTGACACACATTTTTCTTAAAGCCTACTTTACAACTTTTTTTAGCAAGAGAGGGTATCCAGCATATCACACTATTTTATAGACAGCTTTGTGTTGGAGAATATCTTGTTTTCCCTGATACATAGAAGTGCTGTAGTGATGGAGTTCTGGACATGTTCCTGGTATCATTGCTGTAGTATACATCTTGAACCCAAAAGGTGTCTAGCTCCAAAAAAAAATACAGCTTTGTAGTCTGTTTACTTGTAATTACAGGAATAATTATCATATACTTCTCGTATTTGAAGTTTGATATGTACTGAAATTTCTCTCTGAGCTGAAAGTTCTAATTTCTCTGTACTCTTTAAGTATTTCCTGAGCAGCTCACAGAGGTAAAACCTATGCAACATGGGTAATGTTTGAATTTGAAACAATCTGTGCCCTACTGGTGCAAGTATTTTTACCTTTTTATTTTCTAGACCTATATTGGTTCACAGGGAGAAATGCTCTTAATAAATCTTCATCATTTGGTAACATTGCATGAGTAATAATACAGCACAAACTAAT